AATCATCTTTTTTAAATAAGATCGAACTAATAAAGGTAAAAAAAAATGATTTACCCGATTGGTAATCTCGAAGGGTATTTTCCTAGCCAAATAGTAAAGCCGAGGTATCAAAATGACGATTAGAAATCACAGATAATTAACATTCGAAAATCTTATGAAAAAGATTTTGTTTAGTGATCGTCATACCCTTTTTTATGCTTCATTTTGATGTAGATTATTCGATTTACAGTTCACAAAATACAAATCCAAGTAATATCATTTATTCAGATAAAGCAATTCGCAGAAAATCGTCAATATGGTATGAATATATATAAAGTTATTCATCGCATATTTCTCTAACACTAAAATCAATATAACGTTATCCATCACATATGTTTCTAATACTAAAATCATAATGTATCTCGGATTAGTTAAAAAATTCTTTAATTCAAGATTATTATTATCATTCTTAATTCTATGTAATTTATATTTGAAGGCCTCTGCTAATCAAGGAGTTCCCTATACTCCCGACATGGAAAATTTAGTTTTAGCTGGAGCCCCTCAATGGAATATGGCCAGAGCAAAAGATCATGATTCCTGCGCACCAGACCATGCAATAATAAATAACGGAGAACAACATCCACCTGCAACAAGATACACATGGCCCACTACTGATGAAGGAGGATGTGGTGATATAACTTATGACAACTTAGCTACTTATTATAGTAAAAAATGGTGTGATGATGATCATTTTAGAGTTATATATACACTCTATATTCCTAAAGATGGATTTTCAGGAAGTATTCTAGGGGAAGAGTTTGGGCATGATCATGATTTTGAAAGCATAGTCGTATCTTGGAAGAGAATAACCGGAACTTGGTATCGTGACGAATTAATCATGAGCAGACATAAAGGATGGGATCACAAACCATGGGATGAAGTTTTAAGTTTCAATTCTGATGGTACAGAAGAAGGAGAAGGATTAGAATTTCCAAAAATATTTGTGGGGTGGGCAAAACATGCGATGTTCAATGATAAATTTACTTTGTTTACAAAATTACCCTTCGAGATTACCAATCGGGTAAATCATTTTTTTTTACCTTTATTAGTTCGATCTTATTTAAAAAAGATGATT